ACTGAACTTCTACTAAAACACTTGAATTTGACTTCCCCACGTTGAATTTTGTAAACGAATGGTATTTTTATGATTTTGACTATCACGTTTTAAGCTTCCATGTGAATATATCCGTAAATGGCTTTCGAATTGTTGAGTTTCAATTCTTAGAAAAGATACCAGGAGGCCCGAAAGGTGTGACTTTCATTTTGAATGCACTTAATATATATGCTTCTTTTGAAACTTTCAACAATGTTCCGGGGATAAAATGTTAAGGGCTGATTTTCGGATCTCCCCTGACACTATTTGCTAGTATGGTCTTGAGAAACGATGATAGTCCGTCGGAAGGGGACAATAAATGGCTGACCCGTGTTAATATAGAGCCATATATCTTGCACGTAAAAGACACCCTTGTAGATGTCGAAAAAGAGCAAGCTAATGCCGTTACAAGGCAGCACTCGCACCCGCAAAGTGGAAAGGAATTAATATAAGTTGCAATAGCTTGTTTCCCAATCCACTATAAATATGTATAAACTAATGTTCTTATAATTATGAATGAGTAATTAACCATACACTGACCTCTTGTTATACTAGTAATACAAGTAGCTAGCTTCTAATAATGCAATTATCTTGTTGGATTGCTGTCTCATTAAGCAATTTTCACTTTAAAATTTACTCTAAGAACAGACAAACATGTATATCTGGAAAAGTTTTAAACCATAGCATGCCCTAGATAGATAAAATTCAAATGCATTTAATGTTTTAGAATACATATATACATGTATTCCTACAAATTATTTAATCACAAAGCTTTTAAAATCAATGACATTTTACACACGACGTTCGGAAAAAAGTAGTATCTATAACTTAACATATTATGTAAACAAACACTTCACTGATAACATTGTTGTTAACCAAATTTAGTTACGTTACGTCATTTAAAATCCAATATGGAAGACCAACACAAGACAACCTTCTACCCAGTAGTAAGTGAAACACGACTTTTATGCAATAATGAGAATAATAACATCCTTTATTAATATGTTTTACTATTGCTAACTTTAACGGAAGTATAGTCATAAAAATGTCCTGCATGTGATGTGCATTAGGGAGAATTTATTATATAACAAGTCAAAGTGTTTTTAAAGCTTGCCTGACGTCGTCAGTTGTTTTATTAATCACGGTGAATATCTTTTCTAAGTGACGCGATGGCTTTAATTCAAAACATGTTGCTACCATCTTATGAACTATACTGGCAACCAAAGCTAGCTTTTTCATCTTGAAACTTAATTCACAGGTTCTATCGTGCAACTTCAAGAAACAACTTGTCTTCCTCAGATTTGTTCGATTTCATGGGTAAAACAAATATTCAAAATGACTCTCTTTACAACTATCCCCTACTTAGATTTCGTGAGATATGAATGTTTTGATATGTAACTTGTTTATACCTATATGAATAAAATTATCATATACCAGAATTACAATTGTGTACCCCAGACTCGACTGACGTTCGAATCAACAGTAACATGTTTACAACAATATTTTGACATACAAACAAAACATTTACTCAAAGAAACTCAAATAGTAAGACAATTCCGTTTCCCTCTAATATAAGCAATTAAGGCGTGAAATTTTGAAGCCCCTTGTCCGATTGCACGATCTATTGTTTTTAATACTAGTTGATACAATCAAACAAAATATAAAGATTCTCAATTTTTAATAAACAAGTGCAAATTAGAGGTTAAGCTAGCCACAAAACCAGGTTTAATCCACTATTTTCTAGATAACAAAAGCTTGTACTAGTCAGGAATATGACAGTTGTTTTTCATTCATTTGATATGTTTTGGCTTTTGATTTTCCCATTTGATAATTAGGGACTTTTGTTTTGAAATTTCCTTGGAGTTCTGTAATTTTATTATGTTACTTTTTTTTACAAATAAAGGAAATATGTATATACAATATACATGTCAACAAGCTAATGTTTCGACATCCAATGATTGTAATTTTATTTGAACGTAAGACATAATTAAGAATGCTTTAAATTGCTGATTCTAATATGACGTGCTTCTTTCGCTTTGTGAATAAACCATGCTCTAAATCCAATAAAATTTGTTTGCACATGCGTATATTGACTTCTGCAGAATAATGAATTTTATCAAATTGGCATGCATTTAATATGTTTCATTAACTTAAAACACTTCCAAACTCTTAAATGAGGCACATGTTGTTACTAATTCAAATATTATGACTGTAATGTGTTGCAATCCGAAATTGACATATTAAACCTAGATACGACAACCGTTCATGCTGGCTGTTCAAAATTCCTCCTTCTGAAGAATCACATTGCCAGTCGTTTGCTTGTCTACAAACAAAAAAAAGGGAGGTTCATGGAAGAACCTACACAAACGCTCTACAATTATACACATCGGACAAAGAAATTACCTTAATTGTCCTAATCAGAATCGAAATAATTGATGCAAGCTATACTGTATTGTAGTTTTAACATGGGTAGGCATTATATTCGTGTTATTCTAGCCCTCACTACCGATCGGGCAAAAATAATCACGAATATAATGCCTACCCATGTTAAAACTACAATAAAGTATAGATTGCATCAATTATTTCTTAAATGTAACATAGACAGAAATGGGATCATGGTTAAGTTGATTTTTCACCTTTAAACACTCGTTCCTCGGCTGATCATAGTGGCATACATCAACAGTAACACTATCGTAGTATGAATGGCATGTCACGTATAATCGATGCTGGTAGTTGATTAATCTCGACCCCAAAAAATCAGCGTCGTTCATTAGAAGTGATTTTAACAATCTGTGAGACTTTTATGTTCGACCTCATACCTTGCAGACTCTCAACTTTTGAATTTAGATAAAATCGTTAAAAAAATGAACGGTATATTGCTGGGTCTTCAAAGTGCTCCACGAAACCATTTTCTAAATTATTAACATTCATTTTATCAGCAATCAAATCCGGGCTTCAAAGTTATTGTGAATCTGTCTATTCTAGAGGTGGTGTGAATTATATGTGGATACTAAAAAATTCCAAAGATCTTAATGGGTACATACATGTACAATCTAAGACTCTTTCACCTTGCAAAAGTATTAAAACATTTGACTTTTCTACACTTTACATATGTTTTCCCATTCCAAACTAAAAGACAAATTGAAAGAGTTGTTATTGCTTTGTTTCATTAAAAAGAATGGCCAACGTAGGTACAAGTATCTTGTCTTAGGGAGGGATAAATCCTACTTTGTAAAGAATCACTCTGATTCAAACAAAAAATTCTCTGAAACTGACATTATTAAGATGCTTGATTTCTGCATTGACAACATATTTGTTACGGTTATAGGACGTGTTTTTCAACAAACTGTCGGCATTCCAATGGAAACCAATTGTGCTCCTCTCCTTGCCGACTTGTTTCCTATTGTTATGAGACTGACTTCATACAGAAACTTCTTAGGAAGAAAGATAAAAAGTTAGCAATATCATTTAGCTTTACTTTCCGCTATATAGATGATGTTCTCTCACTTAATAATTCAAAATTTGGTGACAATGTTGAACGCATCTATCCCCTCGAACTAGAGATAAAGGATACACCTGATGCAGTTTAGTCTGCCTCATATTTTGACTTTCATCTATTAATTGACAACGGTGGTCGGTTGAAAACAAAACTTTACGACAAAAAAGATGATTTTAGCTTCCCAATTGTGAACTTTCCATTTCTATGTAACAAAATTCCAGCAGAACCTGCATACGGAGTATATATCTCCCAATTGATACGATATTCCTGGGCTTGTATTTCCTATCATGATTTCCTTGATAGAGGGTTGCTGCTCACTAGGAAGCTATTAAACCAAGAGTTCCAAATTGTAAAGTTTAAATCATCCCGTCGTAATTATTTTTACGGACGCCATCGCGAGTTGGTTGACCGTTATGGAAAAACCGTTTCACAGATGATATCGGATATGTTCCTTATGTCGTAACTACAATCCTTTTTCCTTTTCACGAATGTGACCTACCGAATTAGACCCATAGTTTTTGGTCGGGTTCGTGTTGGTTAGTCTTTATTATGGTGTGTCTTGTGTACTATTATTTGTCTGTTTGTCTTTTTCTTTTTTAGCCATTGCGTTGTCAGTTTCTTTTGGATCTGTGAGTTTGACTGCCTCTTTGATATCTTTCGCCCCTCTTTTGTGTCAGACTACTACAAAGCATGGTTCATTAGCATATCCAACTAAAGGTTCTTTTCCTGCTATACATATAATATTTGTCACCAGATATAAATCACAAATCTAGACATCCATCAATGAATGAGTTTCCTTTATGTTCTGAAATTTAACTCAGATGGCACAGATTTTGTTATCAAAACGACATCAATCAATGAATAATGTTGAAATAAGGAGCGCATGCAGTCGGGGTGTACCTGTCGGCCCACTAAAATAGAAAAACAATTTCTATCGTTAGTTGTAAAGCACGTCTAAAAGCCTCAATTAGCTCGCCAAAATAAAAAGAGTTTACTACAACTATTGTTAAATTATTGATCTGCCCCTAGGAATAATTGTATTGTGTTTGCAACTTCATTCATATTCGTTGAATACTTATTTTCGTGGATTTCGTTGGTACAGGGGAACCACAAATTTGTTCAACGAATTACAAATTTTCAATTTTCAAAAGGAATGTATGCAGACTTTGCCGAAATCACGAAATTAAATATCCATGAATATGCAAGTTTTCTTCAATCCACGGAAATTGGTACTAACAAAAATGGACGAACAGTATATATTTTTCCTTGCAAAATGGCGTGTTACTCTCCTAATAGAAGACACTCATATATACGACTAGACGACTCAATATTAATAGTAGATCCGATTCGTCACTATTTTGCTAATTTAGTTGATCAAAAAGACATGTATATGTATGGTATAATATGATTATATATACAAGATAAGATAACATAAAATGTTCAAATGTACTACTATCTCCAAGATCTATTTATATTACAGATATTGTGAATAAGACATACTGCCTGAAAAATGACGGACAGATGGATGCCCCAACCGTATTAAAGTGGCATGCAAATCGTGTAGCAAGCTACTACAATGTTATAGGGGAAAACGAATTCAAAGTAAAAATATACAACTGCTGACAGCATAAATCGATAACATACACTGTGTAGTGTCTTAACTTACAAATGGATTCAAAAGGTACAATGTTGAAAGGCAACCAAGTAAACACAAAAGGCGAAACATCACTACATTTAGCAGCCAAAAATAAAAACCCTGACGGTCAGGTTTCCATTGAGAACTTATTAACAAAGGGAGAAGACCCCAACGCCCGTAATAAGTGGGATCAAACACCACTCCACTATGCTGCCATAGCTGGTTGTTTACAAAATATTGAGACCTTGACAAGGTCTCCTGGAATTGATGTCAATATTAGAGATATAAACGGATACAATGCTCTTCATAGTCTGATTGCTGCAAATGATGGTGAAAGTCCCAGTTTTACTGACAATGACAGACTCGTTTTAAGAAAGTCTTTGCAAGCTCTCGTCAACGCTGGAATTGATGTGAACAACCAGACTGTGTTTGGAGATAGTATCCTACATCTCATTGCATTGAGGCAGGATAACCCGCCGTTATTAAAGTTTTTTATTTCAAATTTTCCAGACATTAATTTAGATTTGATTAACCAAAATAATGAGAACTTTTTTCATGTATATGTTGCTGAGGAACGCTTGAAATATATTGTGGAATTCTTTGAATGGATTGCAGAAAAGTACTCAGGATCTAGATTGAAGGCTTTATTATGCTGTAGAGATGTCCTTGGGAAAACTCCATGGACTTTAATGATCGGCAATACAGGTGAATCTGCAAATTTTCAAAAAATTCTTGACTATGCCGTTTCACCTTATGTTAATGATAACCTTGGGAACACAGTTTTGCATCAAACTTGTGGTATTTTATATGGAAGTTCGCACTCGGAGTTTTTGGAATATATGCTCAAAGGTGGTGCTGACTTAAACGCACAAAATATGTATGAGGAACCTGTTTTATCGATGACTTTAGATGAGGAAGTTTTTGAGATTTTCGAACAGTTCAATCCAGATTATGAAGTTAAAGATAGATGGGGTAGAAGTACGTTGAGTTCTATCATGAAATATAGACCTGATCCGGATTTCCTTAAAGCTTTGATGAAAACAGGGACTGTAAATGTAAACACTAGAGACATATACGGCTCTACACCTCTGCATTTTGCAGCGTATCTCAATTATAAGGAACAAATAGAGGTATTGTTGAAATATGGTGCAGATGTAAATGCTCGTGATAATCTCCAAGAAAGACCCTTGGACACAGCAAAGAGACATAATAGTTTTCGTTGTATTGTGCTATTAAAAGCGGTCGACAGTACGACACAAGGACATACCATAATATATACTCGAATAACAATGATTGGAAATGAGACGTTCGAAGAGATTTTTTGTGGACTTCCAGATACGATAATATCGTCTTGTATCCAATCACCACAAGATATTCAGACATTACTACATTTCCCATTGAATTTAAAAGACTTCATGAACTATCTTCTTGAATCGTATCAAACAACAAGTCCAAACTACTGCTCTGAAGTAGATTCTGTTACATTCGATGTAAATAATCTTGTCACTTCGCTTTGCACGCAAATTCGTAAATACGATTCTCGATTTGAAATGTCTGTTTTTCCATCTGGAAGCATGGCTGAAGGAACAAAAATTGGCCGTCCAGATGAATTTGATTTTATTTTATGTCTTGATAAGTTAAATGATATCACTGAAATTGTTATGGCAGACAATCATATGAAGAAAGGGTTCGCTTCTCTGAAATTCAAAAATATACCAGATGTTGACGAATACTTGCCATTTACTGATGCTGATGGCTATTTCTTGCCAATTTTGTTTTTGAGTTTATTCATAGAATATTTGAAAAGAGCACTGAATGAACCTCATTTGTGGAAGGATGGACATTTCTATTTTAATGTTCACAATAGAGTAGGGACAATCTTCGCCAAACCAGTGTTTACTTTTGATGTATATTGGTTCGGTTCTGTGTACAAACAATTAAAAATTAGTATAGATCTTGTGCCGGCAGTTTACAAAACAGGATGGTGGCCAATAAATACTGATGTTGACAAAATACCTCTCATTAATTCAGACATCAAAGCTGCTGGTTGTTTACTAACACTGCAAAACAAAGTACGCCAAATGAATGTATACAGCTCTCACTGTATCAGCCGAACATGTAACACTGAGGACAATTACGAAGAACTAGCAAAGAAGAGATTTTTGCGGATTTCAGCTGCTCCTGCAGAGATATGCCTCATGAAGTCATTGCCAAAAAAATTTCGACAAGCTTATGTCCTTGCAAAAGTCTTAAAGAACATATGTCCTGATATTGATGTTGAAACAAAACAATACAAGCTAGAGCAAATGGACATGGAATATGCAAGACCACGTCGCACAAAACCATCGGAACTGCTTAAAAGCTATATGTTAAAAAATAGCATATTTTATGTACTGGACGAACTGAAAATTAAGAACCAATTAGAAGATGAACTTGACATTTTTGAGATAATTATAAAGATGTACAATTTTCTTCTTCGATTTGTTGATGGTCGAGAAATGCGTATGCGTCCGTACTTTCTGTCAAGTGACATCAATGTCTTTGAGAAATCAAAGGAGTTCTCCTATGAAAAAACATTTATTTTTCATTTGCAAAGAGAATTTAGTATAAAGCTTGTGTTAGGTATGCTGAATGCTCAATTTCCAAGGGAGTGTTTGGCTGCTAAAATGTTTGGATGAAGCAAAGACAATCACTTACATGCTTTATTATTTTTGTTATCAAACACAACAACATGCTCATTGCATTCAAAGCCCCTCTTCCTTACAATGACATCCATGTACGCCTAAGTAACCAGTTAAACATGTTGAGACTGGTAGCAGAAAAGTTACCATGACACTCAATCAAGCACCGGATATCTGCATATATATATATAGTTGATAGAAAATAAACTTTCTGCGCGGACACATAGTTATCAGATGAAACGGTCAATTATAGGAATCTGTGCTATCGTTTCAATGTTCTTCAAGTTCGTTCTTTAGCTGGACTTTTTATTATATTGTGATTGATGAGTCTTTTATAGACGAAACGCGCGTCTGGCGCATATATCAAATTTCAATCCTGGTATATATCTATGACAATGTATGACGAGTTTATTGATACTTTTAAACGCTGTAATGAGTAATAAGTTATTCGCAATTTCAGAATCTAATACATTCTGGGATACAGAATGTTTTCAAAAGCGTGCACAAAAACGTTGTGATTGGCTAACAACACCCATAAAAATATCATTTAACCATTGATGTGATCTTATTTTTCATTTTGACCGTAGGAGCAATGATACTATACATACATTTTAGGCACTTAAGAACGTTTACTGTACCAATTTTACTACACCAGATGACATTTCATGTATCTTCAGTGATGCTCGAGGTCAAAACATCTGAAAATCTTTAACCTAATATAAGTATTTGTTGTGGTGCTGATCAAACAAAAGGATCTAAGATACGACCAAAATCAGGAATCTGCGAATTGAAAAAAATAAGCATTGTTTTTACCACTTTGTGAATTCTTGATTAATTATAAAAATTATCGAATTATGTAAATAGTTGGAATTAAAGGCTGTCCGGAATGTTACGCCATAAAGATAAATCAAATTAAAACTGTCTTATAAGATCCACAGATTAAAGGTCATACAGTGCTACCTTTCTTATCCGACACAATAAAAGGCCAGAGAATTGCGTCGGATTGTATAGGGTTTTGGCATACTACGGTTTCACTTTTAAACGAGACAATTATACACAACAATATCAGTAAAAAACTTTGTGATTTTTGCGCCAGCATTTGTAAACCATTTAAACAACAAATCATTTAATTCTCCATATTTCGATGAAATCATAAATCTTTTTTTTTATTTCCATCAGAATTATTGACATATTGCTGGTTATAGAATTGTTTTTTTTATCAAAACATCTGACACTGATGCACGTCCAATTTAATACTTCTTGTCAAGTTGTTTTGGGATTATCTTTGGAATTATATCGGAGTCGTCAATAAAATTTAATTGTTTGACTAAACTAAATCCTTTCTAGTCCGTTTTGGTTGAGGCGAATCAGTGCCAATTTTCAAAATTATCTTTTTACATTAATGTGTAGTAGTCATGTTATATAATACACGAAGGATTTTTACAGAGTATCAGAAAAAAGACTCACATTTAAAATTGAATGTATATGTTAGCGAATGTTATTAATCCTTTTTTGTAATAGTTATCCCATGAGGACGCGGTATGTGTGTGTATTATCATCCCGATGGGTTTACAGTTTGCGTAATATTGTGTCGAAATCTCTTTAACAGCGACACGAAGCAAAACAGTATGGTTAATAACAATCCTGATAGTGAAAAAGAAATTACAGGGGAAATTAAACTTACTGCTTTAGATTTCATTCTTATTCATCAGATAATCGGAAAACCGAAGTAAAGTCAAACGGATAATTCATTTAGATATTTGGTACAATTTTATTGTTGATTTTATTAACGAAATGCGTTTATGGAATATTTTTCACCCGCTTCTGAAGTTTTGTTTTATAAAACCAAGTTTGTACTTTTTATTATATTAATTCTATTGTTGATCAAAATTGCTCTTATGTTAAACTTGTAAAGGAAAAAAAACCGGGATATTTGTACAAGTTGATTAGATTTCACTTTTTATACTAATTTATTTCTGCTTTTATTAAAATTTTTGGAGTATATTTCTTGGCTCTTAATTGATTTTATTTTTGTTTTGTGAAAGTTTCATTTTTTCTGTTTTTTTATTTTGTTTTTTTGGCGGAGGATGAGGATTAATCGATCTATTGAAAGCTAGGACTGATATATATATTACTGTTATAGTCTAAGTTGAAAGTCTGTATAATAAGTGAAAGGGACTTCTGTAGACATAGAAAGTTTTAACAAGGAAAGTTTACTTTTCAATGTTATTGTAGAATGAGTATAAATATTTTGTTTGGTTTCTGTCTCATTATTAAAAATAATACTCCTAACAATTCATTATCTACCAATATTTTAGAAATTAAGGACGGTCTCGCGATACTCGTATACAATTTGTAATTTATAACTGAACATGTTATCAGTGAAGTGTTTGTTTACATATTGTTACTAAATTTAGTTATGATACGTCAGGTAAAATCCAATATGGAAGATGCTCAAAGTCACAGGCGACACACACAGTAGTAAGTGCAACACGGCTTGAATTCAATAATTAAAACATCCTTTTTTCATAATGCTGATCTCTTGCTTACTTTAACGGAATTGAGTCATAAATTATGCATGTGATGTGAGTACATGAATGAAAGGGGGGGAGGGGCTAGGGGTTTAACTGTTATGCTGTTTTGGGGCAAATTAATTCTTTGTTATCTGTTATTCTGAAAATATATTTGCTGTTAGCTGTTATTGTCTTATTCCTTGTTAGCTGTTATAGGACTATTAGTTTTTTTGTTATCTGTTATTGTGATAATGTATTTGCTGTTAACTGTTATTGGAAATTGAATTGTTAGCATTTTGACAGCCAATCTTAAGAAGAAATTGAAGATAATTGAACATTGTGACTTGGATGGAGAGTTGTCTCATTGGCACTCATACCACATCTTCTTATATCTATTGGGGTCTTTCCACGGGTGATATGGTCGTCACGTATTTGCAGACGGATTCTAGTAACATACATCACATAAACATATCAAAATCAGTCAGGTCCAGGACCATTCCAGCATAGTATTGTACAAATTCCATTGTCTGTGAACATGTTTTTGGATGTATCATTTTGTACAAAAAATGTGTACACGTTATGATTTATTTTGACTTTGTACACATTTTTCGTACAAATTATAATTTGTATTTTGACTTTGTACACATTTATCAATAACTTATCATATTGATTTTGTTTTAAAAAAGCATTGGTACACCGTATAGAATTTTTATTCATTGACCACATAATAAACCTTATGTTGTACTGTTACACCACTGTCCCAGGTTAGGGGAGGGTTCGGCGCCAACATGTTTAACCTCGCCACATTCTGTATGTGCCTGTCCTAAGTTTTCTTGTTTGAATTGTTTTACATTTGTCATCTCAAGGCCTTTTATATCTGACTATGCAGTATGGGTTTGTTAATAGTCGAAGGCCATATGATGAGCTATAGTTGTTAATTTCTGTGTCTTTTTGTCTCTTTTGGAGAGTTGTCTCATTGGCAATCATACCACATCTCCTTTTATACTTATTTACAAAATACAAAAATAGTTCTGTATCATTTGTTTGAGCATGTGAGTGAAATATTGCCTTTGGGAATTACACAACATTTTTTGCTTTTAGCATTTACATTTAGAAGTGCTACTCCTCTTTGCATTTACATGAAAGAGAACCCTGACCACCAGTTTTTAAAAGCTTTTTAACTGCTTCACATAGTGAAAGTTGAAGCTGAAAAACCGTTGCTGCAAATAAAGATGTGTCTTTAACTGTTTCAATTTAATTTCTCGACAAATCTCCTTTTAAAAATCCAACAGCTGTTCCAATGCGGTACCCAAATTCTCCATATTCAATAATTTCACATAAGATGCATGATTGGTGTTTCATTTTGTGTCATCCAAATTGTCACTCAGGCCAATTTCTATAATGCTATCAGAATAGTCACTTGAGCCAATTTCTATTATATTAATATAATGAACTATATGCATGTATCAATTACATTTCCTGTCTCCATCTGGGTATTTTTGTATTTTATAACTAAGGTTTATTATGTGGTCATTGAATAAAAATTCTATAGTGTGCATCAATGTTTTTTTTAAAACAAAATCCATACTATAAATTGCTTTTCAGAAAAAATGTTCTAAAATCAAATTGAAAAATTAAAAAAAAAAAAAAAAAAAAAAAAAAAACACAAAAATTGATCTATCAAATGCCCTTGATTTTAAAACATTCCTTTAATAAAAACAGAAACTAGTAATTTTGTTCAGAAAAATTCAACATCCATTCTTTATATTATTGTACAAGTTTTAAGTGAATTTAAGTCGAAATTTGTACAATTTGTAATTTGTACATGCACTTTTTGTACAAATTACAATTACAAATTACAATTTGTACAAAGCCAAAAAACAAATTATAATTTGTACATTTTTTTTTGGGACAAATCATAATTTGTACAAAATTAAAACTTGTACCTAACATATATTATAAAAATGGTTTCTGCTAAGGTCGTATGGACCTAGGCCTATCCTCATCAGGTATCCCTAGCCATATGTTTTCCTTTTTTGTGATATTAAGAATTGTTCGAATTTGAATTTTACGTATATATGGGGATAATGTTCCTTGTATCCCCATGCGTATATGTATATTTAATTCAAATCAGTTATTAATATAACCAAAAGGAAAACATATGGCCAAGGATACCTGATGAGGATCATAATGAAAATGTATATATATATGTCTCTATTAAGGCCTAGCTAGGTCCATACAACCAGTTATATAATAAGATCTACTGTATTGGTCCTGGACCGTACTGATTTTAATATTTCATTTACTGTTATCTGTTTTTATCCCTTTTCAATTCCTTGTTATCTGTTTTAAGCCAATTCAATTTACTGTTTTGCTGTTATTGGAACCCCCTTCCCACCTCATGAATTTTTATTCAAAACGTAGCTTTCAAAAAAGCTTGCCTGACGTAGAAATGAAACTGTTATTAAATCAGATCGATTACTCATTTATCCGCTTCATGACATATAAAAGCAACAGTAGTATACCGCTGTACAAAATTCAAAAATCAATTGAAAAAAATCGTGTTACAAACTAAAACCGATGGAAACACATCAACTATAAGAGGAAAACAACGGAACAACAGAAACACTGAAGTGCAACAAAAACAAAAGCCAACATAAATAGAAACGAACTAACAACCGCCATAATCCTGTCTTGGTCCCAGTTATATGGCAATGTAAATAATATCGCGAAAATGACAACACTACGTGACAGAAATACAGCAAAAACAAACGCAAGAACAGAAAATTGTTTGATATAATTGCTTAGCAGGGATCAACTACGTTACATCTCTGCTAAGCTATTGACCAAACGCTTACATGCTAGAATATGTACACTTTATATTTGGTATAATATACTTTGAAAAAAAAAAACAGATACAAAAGATTTCAATTGTATCATTATCTTCAAGCTCTTTTTTGTGTAGATATTGTGAGCAAGACATTCTGCCTGCCAAATATTGATGCAATCGCATACAACTTGTAAATCGATTTCAAACTATATGAAACCAACTATTTGTATGGAATATGGGGAACAGATATTTGAGAGGGAAGTGAAACATCACTGTGGGCTTTTCAGCTGCTGTAAATGATACCCTTTTGTGAAGTTTCTTAACTGCGCAATGGGTACAAGAAGTAAATTGCGCAAATACAACGAAGTAACACAAAAGGTGAAACACCTCTACATTTAGCAGCCACAAAAAAAACCCATGACGGTAAAGTTTACATTGAGAATGTAATGACAAAGGGCGTAGACATCAACACCCGTAATAAGTGGGGTCAAACGCCACTCCAATATGCTGCAATAGCTGCTTGTTTACAAAATATTGAGATATTGACAAAGTATTCTGGTATTTATGTCAATAGCAGAGATATAAATGGATACAATGCCCTTCAGAGTCTCATTGCTGCAAATGATTGTGAAAGTGACAATTTGGATGACAATTTGCCTGCAATGAATCTACTTTCATCCAATAACGCTGACACATTCGAAATGCCACTTCGTATTAAACGAACATTTAATATCCAACTAAGAAAGTCTTTGCAAGCTCTCGTCAATGCTGGAATCGATGTTAAAAATCAGACAACACTCGGAGACGGTATCCTACATCTCATTGCTACGAGGGAGGAAAACACGCCATTATTGAAGTTTTTTATTTCGAATTTTCCTAACACAAATTTAAATTTGATTAACAAAAAGAATGAAAACTTTTTGCATGTTTATGTAACCAATGAACTTTTAGAAGAGATTATGGAATTGTTTGAATGCATTGCAGAATCTGATCACTGTAGTTTAAGGGCATTGTTATCTAGTAGAGATGTTTTGGGAAGAACACCATGGAATTAAATGATTGGCGGAGCAGGTTACTGTACATCAGCCGAAAATCTTAAAACAATCCTTAGCTATGGTGTTTCTCCTTAAGTCAATGATACACTTGGAAATACAGTATTGCATCAAATTTGTGGTGTTTCACATGAATATGCGTATGGAGATGTATTGGAATATCTGCTGGAAATTGGTGCTGACATAAACGCACAAAACATGTACGGGGAATCAGTTTTATCCCTCACGTTAAGTGAGCACATTTTTGAGATTTTTTGTAAGTTCAATGCAGATTGCAAAGTTTACGATAGATGGGGTCGAAGTACGTTGATTTCTATCATGAAATATAGAGCTCTGCCAGATTTATTCAGAACTTTCCTGGTAAAGGGGACAGTAAATGTGAACAAAACAGTTTTCGTTGTATTGCGCTATTAAAAGCAGCAGACAGAACGACAACAGAACACATCATGACATTCATTCGTAAAACAATGCTTAGAGACAAGACGTTTGAAGATATTCTTCATGGACTACCGGAGACGATAATATCGTCTTGTATCAAATCACCACAAGATATTCAGACACTACTACAACTACCCTTGATTTTAAAAGACTTCATAAACTACCTTCTAGAGTCGTATTATACCAGAAGTCCAAAATACTCCTTTGAAGTAGAATCTGTCACATTCGATATCAATAATCTTGTCACGTCGCTTTGCACGCAAATTCAAAAATACGATTCTCGATATGCAATGTCAGTTTTTCCATCTGGAAGCATGGCTGAAGGCACAAAAATTGGCCGTCCAGATGAATTTGATTTTATTTTATGTCTTGATAAGTTAAATGATATAACTGACATTGTAATGACAGACAATCTTTTGAAGACAGGATTCGCTTCTCTGAAATTTAAAACTACACAGGTTTTTGACGAGTATCTACTATTTACTGATGCTGACGGTTATTTCTTGCCTATTTTGTTTCTGAGGTTATTCTACGAATATTTGCAAAGAGCACTGAATGAATCTCATCTATGAAAGGAGGGCAATTTCTACTATAATGTTGAAAAACGGGTGTTTACAATTGATGTTTATTGGCTGGGTTCTGTTTATA